TAAATTTAAGATATATTTCAAAAAGAAAACGAATGAATTGAACAGTCTGGATTGGAATCATAGGCTAGGATCCTCATACCTAGTTTGTCAAAACTCAAACTCCGACATCCAAAGGCCAAAAGTACATGTGCGTGCCCAGAATTAGGTACGAACTATGTTGATGCATGATAATTGAGTTTCCCCACTACCCCGAAAGCCATTTACATCCACACAATAAAGGATCAGCAGCAAGGAGAAAAAAAGAAAGAAAGAAAGAAGACGAACATAAGTCACAAAGATACAAAACTATATCATGTCAGCTCATAAGAGCATCTTATGGGACACATTACAAATTATTATAATTTATTTATTTATTTAAATGAAAAGAGTTTTTACCATTTATGCTAATCTTAACTAATACCTTTATTTTTTAAAAAAATATGATCTTGATGACTTTGTATTGTCGCTTCCTACATATCTAGAAATTTCTTAATTTATAATGATATGACTTTTCAAAACACACACACATTTTTATTCTGAAAAATATTGTGACAAAATAATATTGATCTATATGATATAACATCATGTCACACTTTAGAAAGAGTTTTATTAAAAAAAGTTTAGGTGAGTCTGTGAAAATATTTATTTATGAATTAACATTAATTAATAAATTCAAGCAGATTGATCCTTATGATCTTATGTGGACTATAATAGGTGGACCACACAAGTGAACTCAATGGACAAAGGTCCAACTCAATAGTCGTCTGTTATTTTCTATATTTTAATTGACTGAATAAGAGATAATAGAATATAATTATTTTTAATTATTTAATAAGGCAGTTACTAATCTGATCCTTATAAGTCGATCAGTTGATAACTACTAAACACATGATACATTTTTTTTCTGTTCCACTATTTCTGAACTCTTTGAAAACTCTGAATATTAGTGAGTTGTGCATTTGTCTACACTCAAAATAATCGAGCTTTTTTGAGCAATTTATGGATTCTTCAAGTTCACACATATTATTTTATTCTATTATATTGAATTATATATGATTAAGATATTAGATTTAACAGGGTCAAATTTTAGGAACTCACTGAAACTAAATTCAAATAATACTTAGAGCTATTTATGTATTATAAATTATCTACCAACAAGTTGTGGGCAAAATTCTTATAAAATAGACCAATTTTTGTTGGTGTTTATTCACATTCCACTTAAAATATTCAAACTTATTTGTTCAAATAAAAAACACGTACGGAATATGGTGATCTAAAATATTTTGTAGAACGCACTTACAACAAATCAAAGTTTGATGATAATTATGAAGATGTTGAATTGGCATGAAGAGCACGCGTGTGCATAAAAGTAAATAAGATGGAATGATGAAACTGAAGACGCGGTTTGGCATATAAGGTGGTCTTTCTTACTTATCACTAAACTAGAGGAGGAGAGTAAAAGTGGGTTCATATTAGCCCTACATAATGGGCCATGTAAGATTATTGGCGTCAAGTCTTGAAACAAATGATGGCATTGGTGGAATCATACCGTTCTTATATATATAATATAAAATTTACAACGTTCGTGAAAAACAAATGAACTTTTTCTGACTGCTCATGGAATTCACGAAGACCCAAATCTTGTTAATTAATAATTATCCTAAATCTAACTAATTAGTCATTTTTCTTTTTCAAACATAAACTTGCTTTCTTTTGGTCTTTCAAGTTTTACTTTTCAATTAAAGCCAATAGGTTTATATGCATATATAATATAAAAACTCCAACAAAATATTTTTCATAATTATAAATAGATAGTACTACTTATAAAATATAATAATAAGAATAAAAGAATAATATTGGAACAAGTATACTTAAAGAAATTTATTTTTATTAAAATGTTTTATATTTGAGAACAGTAAATCTTATCTAAAAATGTTTTGTAAACTGAGATAGGGAGTATTATTTAATAGACAATGTTAAAGGTTGAAAGCATTACAGAGTCATCTATCTCTTCATCTAAAGGAAACACATATAATACAGGAGGTTACCCAAAGCTTTGACAAGCATAGTCAATTAATCTTTTTTATTTATTTATTTATAGGGCAAGCCGAAGCTTGATAATTGCAGCTAATTAGTCACTAGAGCATAGTGTCATGAGGCTATTATTCTCTCTCGAAAGATTAACCCATTATATCGTACAGTGTACCCTTTTATATAATTAAGACCCTTCCCAAGTCTTTTTAACGTGGGACATGACAGCTCTCCTGACTAATCTGTGACGCCCTATTATGAGTGGCCTATTAGAGGGATTCATCGATTGAACAAATTCAAGTCTAGTTCTAATACCATTTTGTTTCAATGCCATTACTCTTCCTCCAAAAGATTAATTCATAAGGATATGTAAAGCACTCATTTATATAGCGAAAACTCTCCTCAAATCCCACTGACATGAGACATAACAATAGGATCTGTTTATCAAAACAGCAAGCAGGAATCTGAGTTAACATCCGTAAGCTAGGCGCATCAAAAAATATGTTCTTTGCTTATAAATCAGCATAGCAGATTGAGTTGCGTCTAGTACAAATGACTTCCAAATCTCCCATAAAGACTCATAAGATCTCAAATTTGATAGAAGCATAGTCAATTAATCAGAAGACCAACTTCATCCACAATTTATTTTTTAAATTTTTTTTAAAAAAGATTGAACAATGAAATATTAAAAAGTTTATTTTTTAAGTGAAATAAAAATACCAAAGTTAAAAAATAAATGGAACAAATGACTTTAATGAACTAGTTTAAATTTATCGATTCATTTTCTTAAACCTTGGTCCATCCCCATCATTTAACAAAATTTATGATGCTTTAATGTTATTTTTGCCCCCTATATTCTTCTGCGTATTTGAAAATATGAGTGATATTGATAGTGATTGAAAAAAATTAAATATTACTCCTTTGGTCTAAAATATAAGTTTTTTTTTTCAGTGCTACTCTTGGTCTAAGGTATCCTGTAAAAAAAATTTTATTTTATCAGTTATATTTATTAATCTAGATTTTTGTGTTTACTATCAAATTATAACATTTTTCTCACTTATTATAAATTGAGACTAAGGATAAAGAAAAGAAAAAATAATATATATTTTTATAGAAATAAAATTTTTATTGATATACAGATTATTATTTGAAGTTATTTATATTTTGGACTAAAAGGACCAATTAATAGCTTGAAAATGAAGTAGTAGTAACTTATTTTGCTTCCCAAAGTTATCATTACCATGCATGTTTCATGAAATAATCACTCATTTCATGATGAGGAATTCCCTATTTAGTTAGTTTTTAGAATTTGTATAATATTTTTCTATGGACATTGTAAATTAGGGATCCTTAACCATCAATTCCCCTCATTCTTAAGCATCAACCTTCACCATTATAGCATGTATTTTAATTAGCATGTCCGATCCAAAAATATCTGAGCAGTAAATGTGTGGGCCTAGACCTCATCTTACCAACAAATGTGTGGGCCTAGGCCTTATCTTATCTTATTGGGCTAAAATGCGACTTCTCCTTTCAGGTCTGTGATATTTAGGGTTCTATCTTCTATTTTGTGATGCAGCTGATCAAGTAGCTGTGTTTCATCGGTCTAATTTTGTTCACGTTGAACCATCTTTATTGATTTTCATATTTAATATTTCGCAGGTGCTCTCTAAAAACCTTTTAAAAACTTACAATGAGGAATACTTTGTTAGTCGTTGTCCCAGAAGGGACATGATAAATACTTCGTAAACACAGAATAAAAGCATACAAAGTCAACGTAGAAACCAGTTTTTCATCGAATACTTCAGTCATAAATTGACAATTAAATATGATAAATGATTCTTTTTTAAATATCTGGGTTTAATAATTCTTAACTGTTCAACCATGTCTCAAAATTTTGTAGATAACTATAGAACTTAAAAACGACCGACCAAAAAGAACTTAACCGTTGTATGGATAATTTTATTTCGCAGTATAGATATCATGTCTGATGTCATAATGTTTCTAGATTTAAATATTAAATTTATAATAACTTTTGTCGTTGTTACCAACTTCGCGTCATTTTCGTTATGACTATCATTCACATTTCTAAAAACCAATAAGAAACAATAATTAAAAAAAAAACAAATGCAAAATGCAATAATTATTATTTAAATTTTAAAAATTTGTCAGTTTTTTATGAAATGATATATTGTACATGGAGAAATAATCATTTTATTAACTAAAATGAAATATATAATAACTGTTTTTATTTAACTAAAGTAAATATTTTTTAATATTTAATAATCACTAAAAACAAACACCCCTTCATTAAAATAAATAAAATATTTTTAATTGAATATTATTTTTAATAAAATAATTACTTACTATTAAATTAATTATATTTTTTTATATTTATTTTTATTAAACATCCTAAGATAAATATAAAATTATTTATCAATAAAAATATTTTTTTAAAAAAATAATAATTATATTTTAAAAAATTAAAATATTTTATATTTTTTAATATTAAATTTTTAAAAAATATTTTATATTCTTAAAGAAAAAGAATATATCTTTTCTTAAAAAATCAAAATGTCAAGCAGCGATCAGTCTTTAAAAACGAGAGTATGCCCTGTGCGATGCACAGGAAACGTCAGCATGTTTTTTTTTATTTTAAAAGAATGTTACTGTTGTTTTGTTTTTACTGTAGAACAAACATTAAAGATAGTATTATTATATTTTGTAATACTTAATTATCATCTATAAATTTCAGAAGCAAATTTTTTTTTTTTTTTTCTTGGGTACTCGCACAAGATCTGAAATCCCTTCTTCTTTCCATTCCCCTTCTGGACTCACCAATGAAGAACCTATAAGTACACTGTAAACTTTCTTGCTGATCTTCAAAGCAAATACAGGATCTAACCCAGTTCCAGCAGAACCACAAAAAGTAACTCCTGAATTAGAGCAAAGTATTCACAAAAATCACACAGATCCAAGACACGAGAGAGTATTCTGATATTTCTGTAGTATATAGTATCCGTGATTCTTCCAAAAGGTACAAACGCAGTGAAAAACCAGAAAATTAAATACACAGAAGAAGATCATAACTAGCTAGTCTGATATTTCCATGGAGAACACTGCAAGTTAGAGCAAGAATCTGTCCACGTGCTTGTGCAGGCACCACCAATCCCATCACAACACTTGCACACAACTCCGAGCGAAGCCAAGGTCGTCTCCGAGCCTCCTATATATATAATCACCAAAACAAGAACAAAATAAGCTGATATATATATATATATATATATATATATATATAACAAGCACTAAAATTGATCTGGGATTCTCAATCCAAAGACAATCACTCAGAAAAAGAAAGAGAATCAACAAAGAGATTAATTACCTTGATGGGATTTGAGGGAGAAGGGTCTTGCTTCTGCAACTGAGGGTTTCTGTGAAATAGAAGACAACATGAGAAGCAGAAGAAACAGAGGACACTTATTGAAACACATGTTGACTCCGAGATTCAGAAACCCTCAGAGAGGTTTAAGAAGAAGAAGAGGTGGTGGACTTATAGGGTCCAGAAAGGGGAAAGGATATTGCCCGGAAAGTCTCAAAACCATAAATGATTGTGGGGAAGGAATCACAGCGAATGAGAGAAACAATAGTGAGAGGATTACCTAGAAGAAATCATTTTTTATTGGGAAAAAAATAAAAAAAGTGGGCCAGTGTTTTTGGGTGGGAGTGATGAAGTAATGAAGAGGAAGGGGCTGGGAAGCATGAGGTTCTTCTGGAAGACCTACACGTTTACCACTTATTTACGTCTCTATTACTGTGACGGCTCGCAAGGTGGTCCCACTTCGCCTTCTAATGTGTCTTTTGGGGCACTTTTCTTTTTTGTATTTATAATTGACTTGGTTCTTTTTAAACCCGTCGTAATCATATTCAATTTTATTATTTTTTAAAAATCTATATAGAATATATAATAAAACTGATAGATACTTCCACCAATTTAAAATAAAAATTTAAAAATAATATAACTTTATATTTTTACATTTTATTTAATTTTTGAGATAAGTTTTGAAATCTAAAATATCAAAAAATAAAAATATAAAATCTAAAGCATTAAAAAAATATATAAAAATTTATAACAAAACAAAGGGATCTAAAATTATACTAGATTTTCTCTGAAACTTAGACCCAAAAAACCGTGAGCGGCAGGATTCGAACCTGCGCGGGCAGAGCCCACATGATTTCTAGTCATGCCCGATAACCACTCCGGCACGCCCACAATGTGGTCAACCAAGCCAAAAGTTAAATTCTATTAAAAATGGCCGAAACATCACCAAATAACCTAAAATGGAGATGCGGGGTAGCGCCTCTCGCATGCTAAGCGAGCGCCCCACCATCTGAGCCACATCACGCGTGTGCTGACATTATAATTAATTTTATTATATATAGTCGTTCTCATTTTCATACTCCAAATTTTAAACAACCTTTCATTTGTATATATCAGATGCAAATAAATTATTATTATTTTTCAATATTAGAAATTTAATTACAATATTTTTTTAATTATCGTGTGGGCGTGTCAAAAGATAAGTCTTGTATTGCCTGCATGAAAAAAACTTTGAGAATATAAGTACTGAAAGTGAGCTATTAAATGAGTTATGATGAGGATAAGTTTTAACACTTTTTTACGAAATTTTTTTTGCCAAAAATTGAAAGTATTTATTGTAGAAGAGCTTTATCAGAAATCCTCTATTTTACCATTTTAGAATTTCAATTTCAGGCTGAGGCTTTATGTCATTAACTGGACCTTAGTTCCCATAATGATTGGAACGGATCGGATATGCTTTCATTGAATGTCAAACGGTGGCTTATTAAATGGGAAACTTTATTTCTTTTAATATTCATTTTAATGGGCAAATTAAGTTTGTTCCAATGTACATAAACGCTCCTCTTTAATGCTATTTTATTGTGTTCAAATGGTGAAATGTTGGTGCTTTAATTTTTACGAAATGGTGTTATCCAATTAGTACTTATAAATAGCCGTGCGTGCATGAGACTAGCGTGGAGTCTTTTGAGTTTTCAGGTAGCTATCTTTCACTCTTTTTTATGAGTTGAATTTTCACTTTAAATTATCACGACATAATTTTAGGAGGCTCTGACAACTATGCCAAAATTGCTGTTAAGGTTAGTATTTTTTGACACAACTTGAAACAAATTTTATACTATTATTGCCAACATATATTAGTTACAATTTTTGTCTATCCATATGATTTGGAAAACCAACAAAGAAACTTTGTGGATTCATGAGAAAATGTCTGAGAGCTTTAAGGTCAAAGGATGAATCTGTCAAAGCATAAATTTCAAATGCTACATAATCCTTTAGATCTTATGAAAGTAGCGCAAATGGATGGTAAACATCTAGCAAGCAATTTACTTGAAACTATTGTTGAGACATATCTTGGGTTTGTGGGTGTACAGTAGAGGAAGGAGATCAATAAGAGTGATTGGGAAGCTGAATAACTTGACAAGGAATAGATTCTTTAAAAGACACTTGATGCCTATTGCGCTTTCCTAGTTAAAAAAAATTAGTGTTGGAAATTTGCTAGGAATAGGAAATCAACCAAATCATCCCCTTCTTACACAAACAGTAATTCGAGGCATGACTTGCATTATTGTAGGGTGAGGAAAAATAATAACGAATGTTTTCTTTGGAATACTTTTTTCAATCTCAATGAAACTAGTCAATCTCAGATGAAAAGCTGTAGTAGAGCTACTTCATTTGTTGATTCTGAAACAAACAAGATGGATACCTTCATAGAGGAATTGTTGAATCATTTCTCGTAGACAGCTAGCACAGGTTTGGATTTTAAATTATTGGGAAAAGGTAAATTAGAAGAGAAGGTTAAGATGTTCTATGGTATGGAGGACGTTGTGATTACAAGGGAAGAGATGGAATGATATTTTCTCAAGATCTTCAATTTTTTGACTAGGTGGCCTTTCATGCCAATTTACCTAAATGAAGGAAATTTTTTAATATGAACAGGGATGTAAAAGGAAAGGTGATGTTCTCTCCGATGTTTTTGCTCACATTTCTATCAAAAAGACTAGGGAAGTGGCCTATGGAAAGCTCCCCCTAGTTCCATAAAAATCATTACTTTGAATTGTCGTGTCTTCAGGAAAATTAAACCATGGAAGCTCAAAGGCTCAAATTTATTTTGCAGCAACATCTTCTTGATTTTTTATATCTCCAAGAAACTAACGTCTCTTTAGATGCACTTGTTAAAATTCTAGCTTGATTCGGCTTTTCTTCTTTTATTGGCACAAATATTGTTAACAAAGGAAGGGTTACTTTTATGGGATAGTCGAATGGTTATAACTCTCTTGTTATAGAATGTAACCCCAACATTTGCCATTGCTACTTTGATAATCAAATCTCTAGCTTTTAGTTCTATATCTCATTCATCTATGGCCCTCCTTAATTTCATAATAGGTCCTTACGTTAGGATTTGATTCAGCAAAATGCACCTTCAATTAACAAACATTGGCTACTTATTGGTGATTTTAATCAAGTTTTATAATTGAAGGACAAACTTAGCTCTTATGGAGGCTCTAGTACCTTTCATAAGTTTTTGCACTGCTTGAATTCTACCAAGTTAATTGAGATTCAACAGTTTAGTCCAAAATTTACCTGGACTAATAATAGAAAGGGAATTGGTCTTGTAAATGAATTTCTAGACATGACTTTCTATAATCAGGAATGGTTGCAAGTCCTACCTAGTTCTCATATTATGAATCTAACCTTAGTTGCTCTGATCACTGTCTTATAGTCTTTAATAGCTCTCTTGATTTAAAACCTCCAAGAAGACTTGCCAGATTTGAACGTTTCTAGACCAACTTTCCTAAGTGCGCCAATATGATTGTTGATTACCAGCAGTAAAATTTTCAAGGATCTCCAAGTCATCATTTGCATTGCAAGCTTACTATTACCCTTGACTCTCTTTCTCGATATAGTAAGAGCAACATTGGTAATTTGGCTTATCATATTTCAAAATTGAAAAGGGAGTTACAACAACTTACCACAATAAGAGATGAATGCTTGGATAACCCCTCTTTGGCAAATTCAGAAATGATTAAGTATCATTTAGTGTTCCTATACGATTGTTAGAATAGATACTGAGAACAAAGGGTTAAGCTCAAATGGAAAACTAAAGGAGAAAGAAATACCAAATTTTTTCATGCCATGGTAAATAATAATAGAACCAAAAACTTTGTCAGATGCTTAAAAAGAGAGGACAACATTCTTCAAGTTCAGCCTTAGACTCCTCTAGTCTCTTCCAGGAATTTGATGACTTGTACATCCCTTAAGTTTCTAAAGAAGATGCCTTTGCTCTTGGTGCTTTAGTTATTGAACAAGAAATCACAAAAGCAGTTCTTTTAACTTTTAAAAGACAACTTGCTTGGTCTAGATGGATTTCATGCTTCCTTTTATCAAGACAACTATAACTTAATTAAAGGTGATGTCTTCTAGATGGTTCACTTTTTTTGGCACTCTAAGCGTATACTTTCAATTTTAAATAAGACCTACATTACTCTCATCAGAATGCATACAAGTCTTCCTAGTATTAGAGATTTAAGACCAATTAGTCTTTATAATGTGATGTATAAAATTCTCTCAAAAGTGATAAGCAATAGAATCAAACCTATTTTCCCTAAGCTTATCACTCCTTTTTATTCTACTTATGTGAAGGGTAGATTGATCACTGATAATGTCCTTTTGGCTGCTAATTTGATGCATCATATTCATATTGCTAAGGTTAAACATAGGAAAAGCTTTAAAATTGGACTTCACCAAGGCTTTTGATAAAATTTCCTTATCATTTATTAAAGCTGTTCTTTTGAAGATAAACTTTTCAAAAAATCTTGTTAACTTAATCGTGAATTGTATCACTACTATTTAGTTTCAACTTCTCTTTAATGGTAGGGATATGCCATCAATATCCCCCTTTAACGGTATCAGAATAGGGGGAAAGGGTTTTCACTTTTTTATACATTCTAGCAACCAATATCCTTTTCAACTGAATCCTTCAAAAACAAGAATTTAGCTCACTTAGAGGGATTAAAGTTTGCAAGGATTCTTACCACATTACTCATTTCCTTTGTGCAAACGATTCTATACTATTCTTTGAGTACTCTACTTCCAGAATTTAGGAATCAAGGGTATCCTATTCACTTTCAGGAAATGGTATGGCTTGAAAGTCAATAAAAATAAATCTTTTCTGGTTCTTAGTCTAAATATTACACCTGACTTGGGGGCTTACATCTCTAATACACTTGGTTTTTCTATTTTCGATTCACTAGGCAAATACCTTAGGACATGGGAGGACACTGGGATGATAAATATCCTTTATGGACAAATTCTGGAATCAATTGATAGAAGAATTACTTTATGAAAAGCCAAATTTCTCTCTCAAGCTTTCAAGGTCACTTCAATTAAATCCGTGACATATACTTTTAATTAATATCTATTTGCTCTCTTGCCTCAAGTTGCTAAGAAATCCTTGCTGCTCAATAAATGCATACACATTTCTTTTGGGGTTTTAGTCTTGAAAGGAAAACAGTTCA